ACGTGTCTTAATGCAACCTTAGTGCTACGACTGCCATAACACACGTGTCTTAATGCAACCTTAGTGCTACGACTGCCATTAACTCACGTGTCTTAATGCAACCTAAGTGCTACAACTGTCGTAACTCACGTGTCTTAATGCAACCTTAGTGCTACAACTGTCGTTACTCACGTGTCTTAATGCAACCTTAGTTCTACGACTGTCGTAACTCACGTGTCTTAATGCATCCTTAGTGCTACGACTGCCATTAACTCACGTGTCTTAATGCAACCTTAGTGCTACAACTGTCGTAACTCACGTGTCTTAATGCAACCTTAGTGCTACAACTGTCGTAACTCACGTGTCTTAACGCATCCTTAGTGCTACGACTGCCATAACTCACGTGTCTTAATGCAACCTTAGTGCTACAACTGTCGTAACTCACGTGTCTTAACGCATCCTTAGTGCTACGACTGCCATAACTCACGTGTCTTAATGCATCCTTAGTGCTACGACTTCCATAACTCACGTGTCTTAATGCAACCTTAGTGCTACAACTGTCGTAACTCACGTGTCTTAATGCAACCTTAGTGCTACAACTGTCGTAACTCACGTGTCTTAACGCATCCTTAGTGCTACGACTGCCATAACTCACGTGTCTTAATGCAACCTTAGTGCTACGACTGCCGTATCTCACGTGTCTGAACATACCGTTAGTGTTACGACTGCCGTATCCCCCGCGTCTTAATGCAACCTCAGTGCTACGACTGTCGTAGCTGCAGTGTCTTAATGCAACTTTAGCGTTACGAATGTTGTAGCCCTCATGTCTTAACGCAACCTTAAACCATGGCTCCTTTGTCGTAGACCGTGGTCTAACTAACTGAATTGTTAGTTAATCACCACTTGGCAAAGACGGAACTTCTTTTTCCCCTATCATTTATCCTGATGATAGAACAATTTCATGAAAAATGTTTGTCGCCACACGGAAGTATAACGAATGTAGTCTTCTGCCACGGCAACAAGGGAAACATTGTGTGAAATTTACAACTAAATATTTACTTACATCAGAATTAATTGCTTATCATTATGAACTGTGAGAGATGTTTTATGCATTTTTATACAGCATGTTACTCTATGCATTCTAGTATTTGTACAGCACTTGTGATTTGGTAGCTTTTCGTTCAACGAAACGAACACATAGAAAAGAAATTACTATTATCTTCATCAGGGCTACGTTTGCTCATAATAGGCATATCAACATGGGACCCGTGAAGATTCCGGGGTAGAATAGGTCTTCAGCAACCCATGCTTGCCGTAAAAGGCGACTATGCTTGTCGTAAAAGGCGACTAACGGTATCGGGTGGTCAGGCTCGCTGACTTGGTTGATGCATGTCATCGATCCCAATTGCGTGGATCGATGCTCATGATGTCAATCACTGGATTGTCTGATCCAGACTCGATTGTTTACAGACCGCCGTCATATAGCTGGAATATTGCTGAGTGCGGCGTTAAACAACAAACAAACCAACAAACCATATCAACATGGGAACGTAAGATTGATAAAAGTGCTCGAGTTGGTCCAAAATGAATGGCTTACTTGCCCCTGGATATGCATTTCATAAGGCAAATCGGCAAAGTGCGAGGTGCACGTGTTAAAGGTTCAGGAGCACAGATTTCACGTGCATCACGCAGGGCCGACTCACACAGTAATCTCACAGTTGAGCATAGAGTTCCTGAATATCTTTCAAAATACCTTGAACAAAACAATGTTTTTAAGCATTTTAGGTGCTTTACATGTTGGACATGGTTTAAGTAGATTAGACCACTCGGACCCCAGTGTCTAATCGTTTAAATGGTTGATTAAACCACGAGGCGCGCATAACCATTTCAACGATTAGACACTAGGTCCTGGTGGTCTAACCTATACTTAGTGTCACGACTGTCGTATCTCCCATGTCTTAATGCACCCTTTGTGCTACGACTGTCGTATCTCCCGTGTCTTAATGCACCCTTTGTGCTACGACTGTCGTAACTCACGTGTTTTTTATGCAATTTTAGTGCTACGACGTTCGTGACTCCTGTGTCTTAATGCAACGTCAGTGCTACGAGTAAATCAGTGTTTTGGTGTATCGCATTTCTGAACCCGTCCAACACATATACACAGCCTGAGCGCTATCAATGTCGTAAAAACAAAATTAATTGCATAAAGACTTGCAACACTGTGGTCGCCCAACAACTTCTCTCAGCACTACGCCAGACCGACAACTTGTAATGTCGTGAGCTGCACTTATTCTCCCCCTCTCATGAGACCGGCGTTCTATTTTCAAGCATATTTGAAAAGAATTTGAACACTTGAAACCTTATTTGATTTGTCTCTACAGCGTTTCCAGCATTCAATAAACTGGAAGGTTTGATACCGACTGTGAAAATATAAAAGTAAGCTTGAATACCCTCCTTTGACACGATATGAGTAATTGATTTCTAACTACACCTAAATGCCGAGGGTGGACAAAATGCATTTACAATACGATCTGATATCAAGTCTTGCATAAAATGAACTTCAAATGTCTTTATGCGAGGTATTAGGAGTGTTCCAGCACAACACAACCATGCAGTGTCCCACGCCCCAGTTTGTATGGGGAACTTGCACGACACAACGCACGCTGGGAGCGAGATATGTCGGGTGGCAGATCATTGTTAAGTTGAATCTGTGCATACAACGTTTCGACAGGCCGTAATATTTGAAAGCAGAAACTAACTCCGTTTAATTCAGTGTGAATTGAATATTGTAAATCTGGAAAAAATTTACGAGCATGTTTCTTTTTACGTTCAAGGAAAACTGACACACATTTAAAACAGTTTCATGTCGCTGTTATATTTGCTTTCCAAAATGAACTGTGAGCATATAATTTGATGGCTGAATGAATACTTGAAACCGTAATCACGCAATTGTCATTATTTGTAAAGCATGCAATGCTATGAAGGCAGTCTATATTATAATGATACAGTACGTCACTCAAGACGATGGTTTTGTAACTGGGCCAATAGCCTATATTACGTGACAATTTAACACACTTGAGAATAAGTATTCCTTTTACCAGACATTTCACCGGACATTTCACCGGACATTTCCCTTAACATTTCACCGGACATTTAACATGACAATTCACCAGATAATTTACCTGACATTTCACCAGAAAATTCACCTGACATTTCTCCAGATAATTCACCCAGCATTTCACCAGATATTTCACCTGACATTTAACTAGAAATTTCACCTGACATTTTACTTGACATTTCACCTGACATTTCTCCTGACATTTTACTAGACATTTCACCTGACATTTCACCTGACATTTTACCTGACATTTCACCTGACATTTTACCTGACATTTCTCCTGACATTTTACTGGACATTTCACCTGACATTTTACCTGACATCTCACCTGACATTTTACCTGACATTTTACTTGACATCTCACCTGATATTTTACCTGACATTTCACCAGACATCTCACCGGACTCTTAATCTGACATTTAACATGGCAATTCACCAGATAATTCACCAGGCATTTCACCAGATATTTCACCTGACATTTCACCAGACATTTTACTAGACATCTCACCTGACATTTTACCTGACATTTCACCAGACATCTCACCGGACTTTTAACCTGACATTTAACATGGCAATTCATCAAATAATTCACCTGGCATTTCACCTAACATTTTACCAGATAATTCACCCAACATTTCACCTGACATTTCACCAGACATCTCACCCAACATTTCACCTGACATTTCACCAGACATCTCACCCGACATTTCACCTGACATTTTACATGACAATTCACCCGATAATTCCTCCAACATTTCACCAGACATTTCACCCAACATTTCACCTGACATTTCACCAGACATCTCACCCGACATTTCACCTGACATTTTACATGACAATTCACCCGATAATTCCTCCAACATTTCACCAGACATTTCACCTGGCATTTCATCGGACATTTCACCATTACTTGACATAGTCTGACTTGTTTTATTTCGTTCTTATTTGAAAGAAAGATTTTTAAAACCTGTTGTCTATTTTCATCCCAATTAAACCCCAGAACAGTATTACTCTTCAAATATTATCGACTTTAATTTTGCCTGACTTCCACAACACGGTGAATGCTCACAAATCGTACTCATCCCACTTGTATGTGACGCAGCTTCGAACAATACTAGTGAGTGAGTGAGTTGGGTTTCACGCCGCTTTTATCGAACAATTCTAAACGTTTCATTCTGGTATGGATGGGAAGCCTAATGTGATGCACGTTTACCATTCTCATGCCCACACGTACAGACATGGAAAACCTCAGATTCGACCCCTACTCTCAGCTAATTACGGCTCCTCAGACGAAAGGGCCTCCAACACCTCAGACCACTTGAATCTTACTATTAACAAGGACATTCACATCTGGATCCGACGTGACCAACTGAAGTTAGAAATTATCTCTTGCAAGCTGACATATCATGCTAAATCCATATTCCAGAGTCGTATGAACAAATACATACAAAATATAGAATTAAGGGATAAATAGAAAAAACATACCCAAATCTGTGATTTACTGGTATCTGACTCCTGTGAAGACTGTCCTTCGTCCGAGCGTTGGCGGGGACTAAGGACAGTCTTCACAGGAGTCAGAATCCAGTAAATCGTCTAAGGCGCCGCGATTCGCTGTGCAGAGTTGCGTCCCTTTGGCACGCCAGAAACCTATGATTGTGGGTTCGAATCCCGGTTCGCCCCGATTATTTTTCTAGGTTTGTCAGCACCATTCGTGCTCGTGGGTTTCACCAAACTGGAAAAAGTCTGAGACCTGCATCACTTCGGGCTTTCCTCCCACATTAAGCTGACACGCCGTGATATAACTGGGATAATGTTAAAAACGGCGTTAAACCCAACTCACTCACTCACTATTGACATAATTACATGTGGATATTGTGACAATGTGGTCCCCATTGTTTTGCAGGATGAGGTGTGTCCGAGCAGTCACGTGTTTCCTGCTGTCAATCATTTCAGCGAGGGGCGTGGTTTCAGAATGCCTGATGACAGATGACGAGTGCGTATTTCACCTCACCATTGAACACCGCCTGACCATGATGAAAGACAACATGGCTGTTTTCCCCTCTGGTCGGAAATTGTATAAGTATGACGTCACAAACACGTCAGAAGCAACCCCTATGACACCGGAAGGAATAATCCAAGCCGACGGCTATGAGCCACAGCGCTTGGTCACAGTTGCTAACGGTACCATGCCTGGACCAGCCATTGTCGTCTATGAAGATCAAACGGTCATTGTACATGTACAAAATGAGCTTTATAACGAGGGCGTATCAATCCATTGGCACGGTCTCCATCAAAAAGGCACCCCGTTTATGGACGGAGTATCGTTCATTACCCAGTGTCCAATTCTCCCGGGTCAGTCGTTCACCTACAAGTTCAAGGCCAAACCCAAGGGTACTTTCTGGTATCATTCTCACAATGGAAACCAGAGGACCATGGGCCTTCTAGGTCCGCTGATTATCAAAGAGAAGAAAGCATCGACGATGGAAGAAATGGTAATGGTGCTACAAGACTGGAACCACGACGACTCAACGACCGTGCACTTAAAGATGAATTTCGGTGGATTCGAGGAACGAAAACCTCTTGAAACAACAGATGCTCTCGATGGGTCCCATTTCAGCCGGTATTTTATGACAAGTGGTCTTATCAACGGCAAGGGCCGTCTCTATGATAAGTTCCGGCGTCATAATGACGCACCGCTATCTTTTTTCACAGTGAGACCAAATCAACTGTACAGGTTCCGGGTCATCGCCGCTGGCCACCTCTACCCATTCCGGGTGTCCGTGCACGGTCACGAACTGACCATTGTGGCGTCCGACGGGTATGACCTACGTCCAGAAGTCGCAGAGTCCTTCATCATCAACCCCGGTGAGAGAATCGACTTCATCCTCAACACCACGAACGCAGTGGACAACTACTGGATTCAGGCACAGACCATTGAGAAAGGTGTGGACCACAGAGCTGAAGCCATCCTCAGATACGAAGGAGCGCCTGATGCAGAACCAACTTCATTCAGGAGAACATGCTCGGAAGCTGATACGTGTCGCGTCATCAACAGCCCTTTCACCTACTACCCAATAGTTAACACTGAAACAGTCAGGTTCGACCAGCTCAAATCTTTGTCTAATGATGACCCCGCTCCTCCGGTGACCTCTGGGAAGTTCAAAGAACACTTCCTCAACTTTGCTTTCCCCGGCTATACACATTACCCAGGTCAAGTCAATGGACATAAATTCAAGATGCCTAATGTCGCGGGTCTGACCCAAATGAATGAGATTGATACATCATGCGACAAAGTAGACTGCGGGTTTAACAAGACCTGTCACTGTACATATACCCTTAACCTTACATACGGAGACACTGTTCAGATGGTTCTCCTGAACATGGGCAACGGGAAGGGTTGGTCTCATCCGATTCATCTCCACGGCCATTCCTTCTACGTGCTTAAGATGGGCTATGCCATACAAAATAACTCCACTTATCAAATCGAAGGAAGTAACATGGACATAAGCTGTAACGGGGATCCTTTTTGTAATGCTCCTACATTTGAAAACTCATCGTGGACGGGGGATAACATACCTGGCCTGGAGCTGAAGAACCCACCGCGGAAGGATACCATTATAGTGCCAACTGGTGGTTATGTGGTTGTGAGAATCCGCGCTGACAATCCTGGACTGTGGTTCATGCATTGCCACATTGAGATGCACAACGCTGACGGGATGGCGATGATGATCAACGAGGCTCAGGACCATCATCCCTCTCCGCCAAAGAACTGGCCGCAATGCTCAGGATTTGGCCCGGAAGTGATATATGAGCCAAAGACTAATGGATCAGACAAAGACAATGAAGCAGACAAGACAAAATCCATCCTAAGTAAGTTCAGATCAAGACCCTGACAGAAGAATCAGCTCACTTTTAACCTGAGACTGAGAAGTCCTGGCCCTGATGGTGCTTTCAGCTGTGCTGTGTGTGTGTGTGTGTGAGTGTGTGTGTGTGTGAGTGTGTGTGTGTGTGTGTGTGTGTGTGTGTGTGTGTGTGTGTGTGTGTGTGTGTGTGTGTGTGTGTGTGTGTGTGTGTGTGTGTGTGTGTGTGTGTGTGTGTGATTTAATATTATGATATACATCAATGGTGTATCAGTATGACGTGTTCTGTGTTTCAGTGGTGTACCAGTATGACGTGTTCTGTGTTTCAGTGGTACAGTATGACGTGTTCTGTGTTTCAGTGATGTATCAGTATGACGTGTTCTGTGTTTCAGTCGTGTATCAGTATGACGTATTCTGTGTTTCAGTCGTGTATCAGCATGACGTGTTCTGTGTTTCAGTGGTGTATCAGTATGACGTGTTCTGTGTTTCAGTGGTGTATCAGTTTGACGTGTTCTGTGTTTCAGTGGTACAGTATGACGTGTTCCGTGTTTCAGTGGTGTATCAGTATGACGTGTTCTGTGTTTCAGTGGTGTATCAGTATGACGTGTTCTGTGTTTCAGTGGTGTATCAGTATGACGTGTTCTGTGTTTCACTGGTGTATCAGTATGACGTGTTCTGTGTTTCAGTGGTGTATCAGTATGACGTATTCTGTGTTTCAGTCGTGTATCAGCATGACGTGTTCTGTGTTTCAGTGGTGTATCAGTATGACGTGTTCTGTGTTTCAGTGGTGTATCAGTTTGACGTGTTCTGTGTTTCAGTGGTGTATCAGTTTGACGTGTTCTGTGTTTCAGTGGTGTATCAGTATGACGTGTTCTGTGTTTCAGTGGTGTATCAGTATGACGTGTTCTGTGTTTCAGTGGTGTATCAGTATGACGTGTTCTGTGTTTCAGTGGTGTATCAGTATGACGTGTTCTGTGTTTCAGTGGTGTACCAGTATGACGTGTTCCGTGTTTCAGTGGTGTATCAGTATGACGTGTTCTGTGTTTCAGTGGTGTATCAGTGTGACGTGTTCTGTGTTTCAGTCGTGTATCAGTATGACGTGTTCTGTGTTTCAGTGGTGTATCAGTATGACGTGTTCTGTGTTTCAGTGGTGTATCAGTATGACGTGTTCTGTGTTTCAGTGGTGTACCAGTATGACGTGTTCTGTGTTTCAGTGTTGTACCAGTATGACGTGTTACGTGTGTTTCAGTCGTGTATCAGTATGACGTGTTCTGTGTTTCAGTGGTGTATCAGTGTGACGTGTTCTGTGTTTAAGTGGTGTATCAGTGTGACGTGTTCTGTGTTTCAGTGGTGTATCAGTATGACGTGTTCTGTGTTTCAGTGGTGTATCAGTATGACGTGTTCTGTGTTTCAGTGGTGTATCAGTATGACGTGTTCTGTGTTTCAGTGGTGTATCAGTATGACGTGTTCTGTGTTTCAGTCGTGTATCAGTATGACGTATTCTGTGTTTCAGTCGTGTATCAGCATGACGTGTTCTGTGTTCCAGTGGTGTATCAGTATGACGTGTTCTGTGTTTCAGTCGTGTATCAGTATGACGTGTTCTGTGTTTCAGTGGTGTATCAGTTTGACGTGTTCTGTGTTTCAGTGGTGTATCAGTATGACGTGTTCTGTGTTTCAGTGGTGTATCAGTATGACGTGTTCTGTGTTTCAGTGGTCTATCAGTATGACGTGTTCTGTGTTTCAGTGATGTATCAGTATGACGTGTTCTGTGTTTCAGTCGTGTATCAGTATGACGTATTCTGTGTTTCAGTCGTGTATCAGCATGACGTGTTCTGTGTTTCAGTGGTGTATCAGTATGACGTGTTCTGTGTTTCAGTCCTGTATCAGTTTGACGTGTTCTGTGTTTCAGTGGTACAGTATGACGTGTTCCGTGTTTCAGTGGTGTATCAGTGTGACGTGTTCTGTGTTTCAGTGGTGTATCAGTATGACGTGTTCTGTGTTTCAGTGGTGTATCAGTATGACGTGTTCTGTGTTTCAGTGGTGTATCAGTATGACGTGTTCTGTGTTTCAGTCGTGTATCAGTATGACGTATTCTGTGTTTCAGTCGTGTATCAGCATGACGTGTTCTGTGTTTCAGTGGTGTATCAGTATGACGTGTTCTGTGTTACAGTCGTGTATCAGTATGACGTGTTCTGTGTTTCAGTGGTGTATCAGTTTGACGTGTTCTGTGTTTCAGTGGTGTATCAGTATGACGTGTTCTGTGTTTCAGTGGTGTATCAGTATGACGTGTTCTGTGTTTCAGTGGTGTATCAGTATGACGTGTTCTGTGTTTCAGTGGTGTATCAGTATGACGTGTTCTGTGTTTCAGTCGTGTATCAGTATGACGTGTTCTGTGTTTCAGTGGTGTATCAGTATGACGTGTTCTGTGTTTCAGTGGTGTATCAGTATGACGTGGTCTGTGTTTCAGTCGTGTATCAGCATGACGTGTTCTGTGTTTCAGTGGTGTATCAGTATGACGTGTTCCGTGTGTTTCAGTCGTGTATCAGTATGACGTGTTCTGTGTTTCAGTGGTGTATCAGTGTGACGTGTTCTGTGTTTAAGTGGTGTATCAGTGTGACGTGTTCTGTGTTTCAGTGGTGTATCAGTATGACGTGTTCTGTGTTTCAGTGGTCTATCAGTATGACGTGTTCTGTGTTTCAGTGGTGTATCAGTATGACGTGTTCTGTGTTTCAGTGGTGTATCAGTATGACGTATTCTGTGTTTCAGTCGTGTATCAGCATGACGTGTTCTGTGTTTCAGTGGTGTATCAGTATGACGTGTTCTGTGTTTCAGTGGTGTACCAGTATGACGTGTTCCGTGTTTCAGTGGTGTATCAGTATGACGTGTTCTGTGTTTCAGTGGTGTATCAGTATGACGTGTTCTGTGTTTCAGTGGTGTATCAGTATGACGTGTTCTGTGTTTCAGTGGTGTATCAGTGTGACGTGTTCTGTGTTTCAGTGGTGTATCAGTATGACGTGTTCTGTGTTTCAGTCGTGTATCAGTATGAGGTGTTCTGTGTTTCAGTGGTGTATCAGTATGACGTGGTCTGTGTTTCAGTCGTGTATCAGTATGACGTGTTCTGTGTTTCAGTGGTGTACCAGTATGACGTGTTCTGTGTTTCAGTGGTACAGTATGACGTGTTCTGTGTTTCAGTGATGTATCAGTATGACGTGTTCTGTGTTTCAGTCGTGTATCAGTATGACGTATTCTGTGTTTCAGTCGTGTATCAGCATGACGTGTTCTGTGTTTCAGTGGTGTATCAGTATGACGTGGTCTGTGTTTCAGTCGTGTATCAGTATGACGTGTTCTGTGTTTCAGTGGTGTACCAGTATGACGTGTTCTGTGTTTCAGTGGTACAGTATGACGTGTTCTGTGTTTCAGTGATGTATCAGTATGACGTGTTCTGTGTTTCAGTCGTGTATCAGTATGACGTATTCTGTGTTTCAGTCGTGTATCAGTTTGACGTGTTCTGTGTTTCAGTGGTGTATCAGTGTGACGTGTTCTGTGTTTCAGTGGTGTATCAGTATGACGTGTTCTGTGTTTCAGTGGTGTATCAGTATGACGTGTTCTGTGTTTCAGTGGTGTATCAGTATGACGTGTTCTGTGTTTCAGTCGTGTATCAGTATGACGTATTCTGTGTTTCAGTCGTGTATCAGCATGACGTGTTCTGTGTTTCAGTGGTGTATCAGTATGACGTGTTCTGTGTTACAGTCGTGTATCAGTATGACGTGTTCTGTGTTTCAGTGGTGTATCAGTTTGACGTGTTCTGTGTTTCAGTGGTGTATCAGTATGACGTGTTCTGTGTTTCAGTGGTGTATCAGTATGACGTGTTCTGTGTTTCAGTGGTGTATCAGTATGACGTGTTCTGTGTTTCAGTGGTGTATCAGTATGACGTGTTCTGTGTTTCAGTCGTGTATCAGTATGACGTGTTCTGTGTTTCAGTGGTGTATCAGTATGACGTGTTCTGTGTTTCAGTGGTGTATCAGTATGACGTGGTCTGTGTTTCAGTCGTGTATCAGCATGACGTGTTCTGTGTTTCAGTGGTGTACCAGTATGACGTGTTCCGTGTGTTTCAGTGGTGTATCAGTATGACGTGTTCTGTGTTTCAGTGGTGTATCAGTGTGACGTGTTCTGTGTTTAAGTGGTGTATCAGTGTGACGTGTTCTGTGTTTCAGTGGTGTATCAGTATGACGTGTTCTGTGTTTCAGTGGTGTATCAGTATGACGTGTTCTGTGTTTCAGTGGTGTATCAGTATGACGTGTTCTGTGTTTCAGTGGTGTATCAGTATGACGTATTCTGTGTTTCAGTCGTGTATCAGCATGACGTGTTCTGTGTTTCAGTGGTGTATCAGTATGACGTGTTCTGTGTTTCAGTGGTGTACCAGTATGACGTGTTCCGTGTTTCAGTGGTGTATCAGTATGACGTGTTCTGTGTTTCAGTGGTGTATCAGTATGACGTGTTCTGTGTTTCAGTGGTGTATCAGTATGACGTGTTCTGTGTTTCAGTGGTGTATCAGTGTGACGTGTTCTGTGTTTCAGTGGTGTATCAGTATGACGTGTTCTGTGTTTCAGTGGTGTATCAGTATGAGGTGTTCTGTGTTTCAGTGGTGTATCAGTATGACGTGGTCTGTGTTTCAGTCGTGTATCAGTATGACGTGTTCTGTGTTTCAGTGGTGTACCAGTATGACGTGTTCTGTGTTTCAGTGGTACAGTATGACGTGTTCTGTGTTTCAGTGGTGTATCAGTATGACGTGTTCTGTGTTTCAGTCGTGTATCAGTATGACGTATTCTGTGTTTCAGTCGTGTATCAGCATGACGTGTTCTGTGTTTCAGTGGTGTATCAGTATGACGTGGTCTGTGTTTCAGTCGTGTATCAGTATGACGTGTTCTGTGTTTCAGTGGTGTACCAGTATGACGTGTTCTGTGTTTCAGTGGTACAGTATGACGTGTTCTGTGTTTCAGTGATGTATCA